TGTGTTATTTTGAATGTTGTGTTGTATTGTTTAGTGTCTTCTTCTTGAATGTTCTGTGCTTTTTTTATTTTGAAACAAGATGAGGGGCACTGGTAAGCAGAGCTTACAATGACAAAGTCATTCAGTATATTACACTGTTATGCAGATAACACATTCAAACTTATGAAATATTAGTAATACTTTTTTTCACAAATTCATATTATATATGGATCATTATAGCAAACTGGTCCAGTGTTGAAAACTCTTGTCAGCAAATTCCTGATTTGAAGGAGGATCACAGGGTACCATTTGGGATAGGCCTTGTGTGTGTGTGTGCGTGTGTGTGTGTGTACCTGAGGTCATAGTTCCTTTACGGCTTCTGGTCACACCCGTCTCTGGGATGTCCTCATAATCGTTGCTGTTGTCTGAATGAGTTGATGTGTTGTCTGTTGTAATTCCTGAATTTGCATATATATCCTCCTTCATCTTCAGCTCTTTGATCTTCTGTAAACGTGTTGATGCCATTAAGTGGACTTTTGCTTTGATTTTTGCTGTATCTGCAGATGTGAAGTCTCCACTACAGTCTTCAGCTCTCAAAGTAACTCTTTCTGGGTGATATGGCTAAATACATACTTGCTCTCAGGACAGGAAGTTTAGGCATTTCATACCAGCTTTGACACCCATCTCTGTCACTGCTCACTGTCTCCAGGAACTATTTTTTTTTTTGTTTGTTTGTTTCTAGCTGGAGAGATCAGTTCCTGTGGTTTGTGCTCTGTGTGAAAGGTTAAAGTTGTCGTTGTGTCTGTTGCCATTTCTGAGTATAGTCATGAAGAAAAGACATTGCTCAGATACATAGGTGTATCATAAAGGGAGGTAGGATATTAAGGTGATTTCACGGCCCCCAGAGATACAAAGGTTGTACATTTTTGCTCACTGAAAGTTTTTTTTTTATTGAAACACCTCATCCATTAAATAATAATTATAGTCTAGTTTTAGATACAGTGCCTGCAGCAAAGCATCTTCCATTCTGTAAGTCTTCCAGTTATAGGTTTGTTTTGACAGCTGCTTTTGAGAAGCATTTAAAAAAATCTGTCAGCTGAACACAGTATAATGATATGAAGTGTTGCACATTTTTTACAGCTTGTTGCAGGCTTAGTAAAAGTTAAGGAAATATGGAGCTATAGCAAAATAAAGGGTAAGGTCAAGAAAAGGTTGGCACATTTTAATGTTGTGATTGGTTCTGCTACAGAAAATGAGATGAGGTTTATGAATAAAGTTTTCAGGGCACCCATAATACTTACCAGCACCTCTGTGCTGGTCTGTGTACCACTATGTGTTCACGCAGCCTCATCATCTATGTTAATGAGAGTGCATTAGAAACTGATCTGTGAGCTCGCTAAAGAAGTGAGATTGTGGCAGATAAGAATCTGCGCTGTGTCTACAAGTCACGTGGTTGTTGTACATGCAGAGGGACTTCACATGGTTAAAGGGTTTATTCGATACAGCACAAACTAGCTAGTGTTGCACATCTTTGGTCCTCATAACAGCACAAATTCCCAAATCAGCTTATTACACAGTAAAAATGTTGCTTTGTTCCGAATGCAAGAGTTTAGAAAGAGCTGTTGGATGTTTATTTAAGGTAAGAAATGTCTTTATCACACAAGATGGCCACCAAGAACAGAGAAGAAAATGAGATAAGGTCCCTGCCTTTAACACACTATAACTAAAAGCAAAGCTGTTAATGTTGCAAGTATTTACAACAGACGCAAATACAGACCATTTTGGAAGGCGGCTGTAACTCTTAATAGGCTCCGATATCGTTTATGTTGTCACTGTTGCTGCAGCTACAACCCTACAGGTGGCTGTAGACCAGGCAAAGTAGACCAGAATGACCATGAAAAAGATAAAGATATGAGGACAGCTTAGATACAACCTCTAGAAAACCATATGATAAGAAGATTATCTTGATTGGTGGACTGGATCCGTATAACCTACATATTTCCAGAGTTCAGAATATTCCGATGTATGAGATTTTACAAAATCTAATAAAAACGGCTACCAAAAATGCCAAAGCTCCTAAATAGTGAACCCAACTAAGCTGGATTTGACTTCTTATTCACCAACTTCTCATTTAAATTATATGTCCCACCTTAAACAGTGAAACAGTTACATTTACTTGTCTCAAACGAAGAACAGAGCCAAAATCATGTCATAGAAAAATTTGTAGATATCCAGTTTTCCTCAATAAATGTATCCTTAATCAGGAAATACTTTGTATGTTTGCTGGGAATGAGCAGCACATTCAGCACAGCAAAGCTGTAATCAGCTGATTACAGCTGCTAGATTACTAGATTGTTGAATGTATCTCACTAACTGATCCAATGGCACGTCCCAAACCACACACTTCTGTACTTCACCTAGTACACTAAAGAGTGTACTTCTAATGGTACTGCACTGTTTTTAAATACTATTTAGTGTGCTAGTGCTAGCAGTTTGGGCTGCAGCAGAAGTAACGCAGTGGGAAATCTCAGCCATTTGGATTTTAGCTTTCATTTGTTATCACTACAGCAAATCAACACTCCACAAATCAACACAAGGTGTGCCTGATGCCCGTCCTCTGTGTTCAAAAAGACGTCTGTGAGAGTCAGTAGGAAGGCCTAAACCATAATGACCGCAAGGGAAGGATGACAAGCATGAGGGCTGGGGGACGGAGGCCAAGTCCCAAGCCCTGCCTCCTGGGAACATTTTAATGTTGTGATAGGTTCTGCTACGGGATATGAGGTGAGGCAAGGGGTTTATGGATAAAGGTTTCAGGGAGCCCAAAATACCTACCAGCTCCTCTGTGCTGGTCTGTGTACCACTGTGTGTTCAGGCGGCCTCATCATCTATATTAATGAGAGTGCATTAGAAACTGATCTGTGAGCTCGCTAAAGAAGTGAGATTGTGACAGATAAGACCCTCTGCGCTGTGTCTACAAGTCACGTGGTTGTTGTATGTGCAGAGGAACATCACATGGTTAAAGTGTGAATTCAATACAGCACAAACTTTCATGCTAGTGTTGCACATCTTTTAATTATGGCTTTCTCTCATATCAAACATCCTTGTGCTCCCGCATGAACTTAAAGTTGCCTACCAAAATGGTGGCAGTGCGATTGCGTGACGTCATCGGAATACTATGAATTTCCAAGAGTAAGCATGCATGTAGCTGTTTTGCTTAATGAACCAGGTTGCTTAGCAACCATCATTGCTACATGTTTTCATATGAATGCAACCAGCTAAGACTGACCTTGCACTTGGGCATAAAGCCCTCCCTGAAAACTGTTGTTAGTTATGACTAGTTTAGCAGGAAAGAACATCTTAGCCAAGACCTGTTGGTGCATTGGGCCCCAGTACAAGCCACTGAAGTGATCTGTCATGTTTGCTAGAGGCATGCAGTGAGAACACATGCTTTGTAGTATGATCCATTATGACAGTGGAGGTGGCCATTCGAGTGTGGATAAACTGTAGCAATGAATCACTGAAATTAGTCAGCAATTCCGTTCAAATACACTGTCCTGTTCAGAAATTTTTAAGTGGATATCAGAGGTCCGAATTTGTGCCAGGAAACCGTTCCCTACACCATCATACTGCACCTTCAACATGTATTGTTGATCCAACCAGATGTTGGTTGCACCAAATTCTGATCCTTCCATCAGCATGATGCAAAAGAAACCTGAGGAAGATGTTAGCAGCAGATCCTTTAAGTCCTGTAAGCTGACGCAGATCGGACTTGTTGTAGCACATGATTTCTCGACAAAACTCGATTAACTCAATTACTAACAATCATCTATGCAAATTCTTTGCATCAAAGCTTCATCTAATCCATAAAACTATATCCAGCTCACTGTGTTTCACATGGATGCTTAATACTGTCGCACAGGGTGCTTATGCTGTGGGCAGATGACATGAAGGAGACGTGATTTGATGGTGTAGATTGCAAAATGGAGAAGAGAGAAAATAGCAAGGGGCAAACAGAAGAGAGACTAGAGAAAATAACAAAGTGTCCAAAGTTTGGATTCATTTCAAGCTGAATAAAACAAAAACATTGTACATCTGTCTTATTTTCTTTTATTGTAGTATTTCTTTTATTATAGTATAAAGTATTTCTTATCTGACTACTTGATTAATCAATGAAATACTCAATTACTAAAATAATTGATAGTCCTCGTGCCATTGTTACAAGATAATTAATGTTTTACCCTTCATCTGTCAATGTTTTGGGGCTCATCTATGTATTTTACTGAGCTTTCAGCCAAAATCCTGTCTCAACTTCAGCAGTTGCCAACTGACATGTAGAGGAAACCCTCCCCCAAGTCTGCTTTGATTGGCTGAGCCAGTGAGTATACTTTATACCCAAAGCTAAACAGCAGAGGACTGTCTCCTCTTACATTATGTTAGAAAATCTCTGGCAGCACAGCTGAGGCAGCAGTAAATTACAGCAGTGACGCCTCCCCCAGTTCACACCCTGCTAACACAGTATATTTCGAGACACAGTGGCACAGCTGAAAAAATGAAGAATTAATGAGAAAAAAAATGGTTATTTGAACTAATAATTTATTAGTTTTAGATTTATTAGTGGGGGCTAACATTTTAAAACTGGCTTAGCAACACCCCCCAGCTTCATCAACTGAATTCATTAATGATGTGATAGTTCAACAGAAACCAGACACGTGTGGATGGAAAGTTGAGAACACTTTAGTCACCAACAACAAACAGCACAAAAGGGCAGAGCAAAATCGTCGTCATGAAACAGGCAAAAAGGTCAAAAACACGGATCAATCAGAAAAGGCAACAGTACCAAAGGGAAGTAGCAAAATACAAAAACGGGTGAAACAAAGCAGTGGTCAAAAACACGGAAGTCAGATAATCAGAATAGAAACGCTCAGTAAGTCTCAAGAGAACAATACCTCGCCACAAATCTAAGCCCAGGCTTAAATACTACTAGTTCCCTATCTCTTGAAAATACACACAGGTGAAAGCAATTAGTATTCCGGTGATTGTGAGCGCTGATAGGAGCGTTCGCGAGAGTCACTGGTCACGTGAGCCCCTACTGCACCATGGGCAATGGAGTCTTGGTCGTAATCAGAGTCCGCATTCGATGGCCGAGTCACATGATCTCCCATGGGATTCTGGGAGATGAAGTCCGTATCATGAGAGCATGCCGTAGGCGTGACAGTACCCCCCCCAAAGAGTCCGGGTGGGCCTCGGCACGAGGACAACCAGGGCGACAACCACTCCCACCACCGGATCCTCGAACCGGGGCCGAACCAGAGCTGCCGAGGCGCTGGATAGGCGAAGTCTCTCCGCGACGATCTCTCAGACGGGCGGGATGTGAACTGGTAAGCCTCCTACGTGGACGGCCTCGGGGACGAGGAGCTGGCTTCTCAGGGTGCTGACTATGAAAGTCCGCGATGAGGCCCGGGTCCAACACGTCTTTGGCTGGCACCCAGCATTGTTCCTCGGGGCCATACCCCTCCCAGTCCACCAGATACTGAAGGAGCCCGCCCCGTCTCCTGGAGTCCAGCAGCCGTCGGACAGCGTAGACTGGGGCCCCCTCTATCACTTCCGGTGGTGGTGGCATGACGTCTGGTGTTGCCTCATCCAAGGGCCCTGTAACAACGGGTTTAAGAAGAGACACATGGAATGAGCGAGATACTCTAAAACGTGGGGGTAAGTCCAACCTATAAGTCACATCATTGATACGTTTAATTATCTTGAATGGCCCAATGTATTTAGGCTGAAGCTTACGGCAACTCCCCTCGGAAGGGCGAAAGTCCTTCGTAGCCAACCACACTCCGTCACCAGGATGAAAGACAGGGGTTTGTCCTCTGTGTCTGTCGGCCTGTTCTTTCTGCCTTTGGAGGATGGTCTCAATGTGCTGGTGAGTCTCCTCCCATACTCGTTCACTACGCGTCATCCAGTCATCCACTGCTGGAACGTCCGTTTGTGATCCAGTCCAGGGTGCTAGGGGTGGTTGGTAACCTAAAATACACTGGAAAGGAGTCAGTCCAGTAGCAGAGCTAGTCAATGAATTTTGTGCTATTTCAGCCCAGACTAAAAACTTCGACCAATCAGAGGGGTTATCATGGCAGAAAAGTCTCAAAAACTTCCCCAGTTCCTGATTTACCCGCTCACATTGCCCATTAGATTGCGGATGATATCCAGATGACAGACTGATGGATACCCCTATGTGCTCGAAAAAGGCGGCCCATACTTAGGAGGTGAATTGAGGCCCCCTGTCTGAAACGATATCCTCCGGGATACCGAAAATTCGAAATACATAATGAAACAATGTCTCTGCAGTCTGAAAGGCACTGGGAATAGTGGCAAAGGGTATAAAACGAACTCCCCTAGAGAATCGGTCTATAACTGTCAGAACTGTCGTGAATCCTTGTGACTCAGGTAAATCTGTGACAAAATCCACAGCGATATGAGACCAGGGTCAGTTGGGTATGGGCAAGGGCATTAATTTGCCGGCTGGTAATGTTTTAGGCATTTTGCACTGTGAACATGTGGAACAGGAAGACACAAAGGAATGAATATCCTGGGTCATTGACTCCCACCAATATCTATCTATCCAGTAGCTTGTAAGTTCGAGTCTCCCCAGGGTGTCCGGAGGAATGAGCCCATGTGATCAGTGAGGTTCTAAAAGGTTCTGGTACATATAGTTTACCTGGGGGACACTGGATGGGTACTTGGACGTGGGGTAAAGCTGCTTCAATCTCCTCATTGATCTGCCATCGAATAGAGGAGACATTTACCTCAGGAGGAAGGATGCGTTCCGGTGTCTCTAATTGTGAGTTTGCCATTTGTTGATGTACCCTTGACAGTGCGTCAGCCTTGGTATTACGAGAGCCCGGCCGATGGGTGATAGTGAACCTGAAACGTGAGAAAAAAAGAGACCATCGAGCTTGGCGTGCATTGAGTCTTTTGGCTGTGCGAAGATATTCCAAATTCTTATGGTCTGTCAGAACGGTGAAAGGTTGATTGGCACCTTCCAACCAATGGCGCCATTCGACATTCCATAGTTCCTCTCTGTAGGTGATAGCTTGTGAGAAAAAAATGCTACGGGGTGCAATTTGAGAGGAGATCCATTCCGCTGAGATAATACAGCTCCAACTCCTGTTTCTGAAGCATCCACCTCTACTATGAAAGGTTGTGTGGGGTCGGGATGCTTCAGAATGGGCGCCGTAGTAAAAGCTTCCTTAAGATCTCGGAAGGCTTTCTCGGCCCTTTCAGTCCAAGTGATCTTTTTAGGACTTCCTTTAAGCAGTGAGGTGAGTGGAGCCGCAATACTGCTAAACTTCCTAATAAATCTGCGATAAAAATTCGCAAACCCCAAAAATCTCTGTACTTCTTTCACGGACTTGGGTGTGGGCCATTGAACAACTGCCTCTACCTTGTGGTCGTCCATAATGACACCCTGAGCACTGATGATGTACCCCAGGAAGGACACTGACTGTAGGTGGAATTCACATTTTTCTCCCTTGAGGAACAAATTGTTCTCTAACAGCCGTTCTAAAACTGCTCTGACATGTTGGACATGGAAGGCCTGGAAGACCGAGGGGGCGATAGAGAGCCCGAAGGGCATCACAAGGTATTCATAGTGCCCCCTAGTGGTCAAGAAGGAGGTTTTCCATTCATCCCCTTCTTTAATTCGGATTAAGTTGTAAGCACTGCGAAGATCCAACTTAGTGAAGAATTTCGCCCCTTGAAGTTGTTCTAGCGCAACGGGCACGAGTGGCAGGGGATAAGGATACACTTAAGAAACCTGGTTCAGGGCTCTATAATCTATACAGGGGCGTAGGCCTCCATCCTTCTTTTTAATGAAAAAAAAAACTAGAGGCTATAGGGGATGTGGATGGTCGTATAAAACCTTGGTCAAGTGCTTCTTGGATATATACATCTAGTGCCTTTTGCTCCTCCTGTGTAAGGGGATATATTCTAGCTTTAGGCAGCACAGTGTTCTCTATAAGTTCAATGGCACAGTCGTAAGGCCTATGAGGAGGTAATTTTGTGGCATTTTTCTTGTTAAACACCTCCCTCAAATCTCTATATTCTGGGGGAATTTCAAATGTGGAGTCAGAGTTGGGGCTTTCTATCGAGGTTGAAGAAACGGAAATGGGAGGGGTGTCCAGGCACGTCTGGAGACAGTGTTCAGACCAGTGTGTGATTGTACGCTCTGCCCATGATATTATAGGGTTATGTCTCTCCAACCATGGAAGTCCTAGGATAATGTCGAATTCTGAGTGTTCTAAGACTAAGAATGACAATGTTTCTCGATGGAGGGCACTAATCTGTAACCCGAGGGGTATAGTGGCTTGAGAAACGGTCCCCATCCCCACACGTCCTCCATCCAGGGCGGCTACTTTCAGAGGAGTCGGAAGGGTTTCCACCGGAAGCTGAAGTTGTTCCACGAGTCTGATATTGATGAAGTTCCCCTCCGCACCAGAGTCGATCAGGGCTGAAACAACAAGAGAATTGGAATGAAAGTATATAATGACAGGCAACATCACCGATTTGGAAACCAACCCCTTTGTGGGAACACTCACCACTGTCCAGGGGTTGGCGCCTTGTATCTTGGAGGTCTTGGGCGGCAGTCACGCACTTGATGTCCCGCTTGGCCACAATATAGACAAAGATGATTATCTAATCGGCGCCTTCTTTCCTCGTGAGATAAGCGGGAGGAGTCACACTGCATTGGTTCCGTGGGTTCAACGGGCTCTCGTGTTACTTTTACGTGGGGCAGTGTACTTCTATGGATTCTTTCGTTCCGACTCCTTCTTCGGGAGTGAAGGAGATGGTCTAACTTAATGGCTAGAGTGATGAGTTGATCCAATGTCAGGTTTTCATCTTTGCTAGCCAGTTCGTTCAATATGTCCGTGTTTAGTCCCTGGCGGAACATAACGAGCAAAGCCGCTTCATTCCACCCACTGCTAGCAGCGAGAGTTCTAAACTCTAAAGAATAATCAACCACAGAACGGTGTCCCTGGCGTAATTGGGACAATAGTTCTCCACTTACTTTACCTTCATATGGATGATCAAACACCAACTTGAACTCCTTCACAAACTGAGCATATGACATACTATGAAGGCTGGTCCAGCTAGCTGTAGCCCATTCCAAAGCCTTTCCCGCTAAACGAGATATTACAAAAGATATCTTGGCCTGATCTGAACTAGGAGACGAATTCTCAAAAAAAACTGAACATTGCAGCAAAAAACCCCGACATTGATCGGGATTACCTTCAAATTTGTCGGGTTTGCTGACTGGAAAAACTGATGTAGAGGCTCCTGCTGCTGCTGGGAGTGGCGCAGTGCTTACAGTCTGTTCAGTGAGATTCATCCTTTGGAGTTGGCCGGTTACTCCCTGGACACTAGCAACCAGTTGAGCTAGCTGAGCCTGCTGTTCAGCCTGTTGATGGGTCAGTGACTCTAGGGATTGAGTTACTCCTGATAAAACTTGCTGGTGGCGTCCGAGGAGCTGTCCCTGTTCGGTGAGAGCCTTCTGGAAGGCTTCCGGATCCGCCGTCTGCATGGTGGCGAGGTATTCTGTGATAGTTCAACAGAAACCAGACGCGTGCGGATGGAAAGTTGAGAACACTTTAGTCACCAACAACAAACAGCACAAAAGGGCAGAGCAAAATCGTCGTCGTGAAACAGGCAAAAAGGTCAAAAACACGGATCAATCAGAAAAGGCAACAGTACCAAAGGGAAGTAGCAAAATACAAAAACGGGTGAAACAAAGCAGTGGTCAAAAACACGGAAGTCAGATAATCAGAATAGAAACGCTCAGTAAGTCTCAAGAGAACAATACCTCGCCACAAATCTAACTAAAGCCCAGGCTTAAATACTACTAGTTCCCTATCTCTTGAAAATACACACAGGTGAAAGCAGTTAGTTTTCTGGTGATTGTGAGCGCTGATAGGAGCGTTCGCGAGAGTCACTGGTCACGTGAGCCCCTACTGCACCATGGGCAATGGAGTCTTGGTTGTAATCAGAGTCCGCATTCGATGGCCGAGTCACATGATCTCCCATGGGATTCTGGGAGATGAAGTCCGTATCATGAGAGCATGCCGTAGGCGTGACAAATGATAACAGTTAAATATAAAGGTAAAAATGTACAAGGAAATGGTTTTCTTTTCAGTGCCCTTTAGCTTTTTATGGAGTTGTGGTTCTTTTCTATCAATAATGTACAATCATAAGTGTGAACACTTGCTCAACAAACACACAAACATTAAAGGGTTCGAAGCACAACCTACATTATAAAGTGTTCTTCCACATGTTTCATTTCCACCAGAGAGGTCTCCAAATCCCCAAAACTTACAGATCAGCCCTCTGAAAAAGATCCATTTGAGAAAGATTATTTTGTTACCTCTGTTAAAAATTACCTCTTTGTACCTCTTGGTCAGGTATAATATGGGATACTGTTAAACCCCTGCTAGCTGCTTCTACCACATCACTCAAATTTTGCAGGTGCCCCTTAGTGGCACCTCTTAGTAGCTCTAGCTTTAAGTATGGACAAACAGCTTCTGTTTTACAAACCTGCCATTTTTTGCTCACTAATTGTTAGCCACCTAGCCATTTTTGTGTTGCTTACTTTGTACATATTTTTTGAATAAGCAGAATAACAATTGGGACAGGGCATGTTTACTACTGTGCTGCATCACCTCAACTTTTAACAACACTCTGTAAATGTTTGGGAACATAGGAGACCAACTGCTGTAGTTTTGAAAAGTAAAATGCCCATTCTTACTTGATGTAGGATTTCAGAGTTCAGGGTCAATTTTGTTGTATTACACGTTTCATAATGTGTCAAATGTTTTCAGTGGGTGACAGATCTGGACTGCAGGCAGGCCAGTTTAGCCCCCTTACTCTTTTACTACAAAGCCATGCTGTTGTAATATGTGCAGAATGTGGTTTTACATTGTCTGGCTGAAATAAGCAAGGCCTTTCCTGAAAAAGACATCATCTGAATGGCAATATATGTTGCCAAAACCAGTTTATATCATTCAGCATTAATGATGCCTTCACAGATGGGCCAATCACCCATGCCATGAGCACTAATGCCCCCCGTACCATCATGGATGCTGGCTTTTGAACTGATAATGTGCTGATAACAAGCCTGATGGTCTTTAGTCTGGAGGATGCAGTCTCCATGATTTCCAAAAAGAATTTCAAATGTTGATTTTTCAGACCACAGGACACTTTTCCACTTCGCCTCAGTCCATCTCAGATGAACTCAGAGAAAGTGGCAGCATTTCTGGGTCCTGTTTATATATGGCTTCTTCTTGGAATAGTAAAGTTTTAACTTACATTTATGGATGCAGTGATGAACTGTGTTCTTAGAGAGTGGTTTTCAGAAGTGTTTCTCAGCCCTTGCAGTGATTTCCACTACAGAATCATGTCTCTGTTTAATGCAGTGC